ACTAAAATGGCACCTTTAGACATGAAATGCATATCAAATGAGTCAATGAACATATACAAACATGTTATCACCAAAACTCACTTGAATATCATAAGAATGCATAACTTATATTAGAACTAAAAACATTAAAACACTTAAAACAAATTCCAATATAAAACTTCCATTTTTCTTGGGTTGAACCTCTTATGATCCTTAAAGATACTCCTTTGAACCGGAAAACCCTACAAAATCAATTTTTATCATTAAAATCACACCAACTAATAAAACTCACAAATTAAAACACATTAAAACAAAAGAAATAATTGGGTTACCTCCCAATTAGCGCTTTCGTTTATAGTTGTTGGTTCGACTCAAGGGTTGAATTCTCAAATTGAAGAAGAATCACCCAAGTGACATATAAGTCCCTTGGGAACGATTTTAGCCGCTCAGTAGGGTTTTAATCGTTGTCCATTGACCTTAAACCTTTCATTTCTTGAATTTGCCACCTCAACAGTTTCATAAAGAAATACTTGAGTAACTTCAAATGGTTCCGACCATCTTGACTTCAGTTTTCCTAGAAATAACCTCAAGCGTGAGTTGAATAAAATTACTTTTTGTCCTACCTGAAATTGTTTAGGAATAATATGCTTATATGCCAATATTTGATCTTCTCTTTATAAATTTTGGTATTTTCATAAGCATGTAGCCGGTGTTCCTCCAATTCACTTAACTCAAGTAGTCTCCTTCCATTTGCAAGATTAATATCTATATTAATTACTTTAATAGCCTAATAAGTTTTATGTTCAATCTCTACAGGTAAATGACAAGTTTTTCCATAGACTAAACGATACGGCGACATCCCTAAGGGTGTCTTAAATGCCGTTCGGTAAGCTCATAGTGCATCATCTAGCTTTGAAGTCCAATCCTTGCATGATTTATTCACGATTTTCTCCAAGATGAGTTTTATCTCTCGATTTGCTAACTCTGCTTGTCCAGTTGTTTGTTACAGAAATATTTTTCTTTATCACTTACTATGGTCTTAGGTATACCAAACCTGTAAACAATGTTCTTTTTAAGAAACCGGAGTATAACCTTAGAGTCATTAGTAGGCGAAACAATTGCCTCTACCCATTTAGAAATATAATCCACTGCTACTAAGATGTACTTATTATTAAAAGAACTAGGGAATAGTCCCATAAAATCTATACCCCACACATCAAATAACTCAACTTCTAAGAAAGTAGTTAGGGGCATTTTATTTTTTTGAGATATATTTCCAGTTCTTTCGCATTCATCACAACTTTTAACATATTTCCTAACATCTCGGTACATAGTTGGCCAATAAAATCCTAATTGCCATACCTTTACTACAGTCTTTGAAGTGTTAAAATGACCACCTGTTTCAAGATTATGACAGTGATATAAAATATTATGTACCTCATCTTCGGGAATACATCTGCACACAATACCATCGGCACAATGTCTATATAGCAATGGTTTTTCCCAAAAGTAACTTTTGACATCATGCAAAAATTTCTTCTTTTGATGATAATTAAATCCCTTTGGAATCTCTCCACTTACCAAATAATTAGCAGTATTTGCATACCATGAAAAATTGATAATTACTGGGACAAACTTATCCGAAAAATTTTCTTGGATAGAAACTTGGTCGTTGACTGGGATATATTCCAAGTATGATAGATAATCCGCCACGAGATTCTCTATTCCCTCTTTGTCTTTTATTTCTACATCAAATTCCTGCAACAAAAGAATCCACCGAATTAGTCTAAATTTTGCGTCTTTCTTATGTAGCAAATATTTGAGAGCTGAGTGATCCGTATAGATGATAATTTTAGATCCTATTAAATAGGATCTAAATTTGTCTAAAGCAAATATCACCGCCAATAGCTCTTTTTCCTTTATTGCATAATTGAGTTGTGCCTCATTTAGCAATTTGCTAACATAATAGATGACGTGCAACCTTCCTTCTTTCTTTTGCCCTAAAACTGCTCCAACCGCATAGTCACTTGTATCGCAGATCAATTCAAATGGTAGTGACCAATCGGGCGAAGTTATAATTGGAACAGAAATCAATTCTTCTTCAACCTTTCAAAAGCAACCAAACAATTGTCATCAAATTGAAAAGGGGTGTCTTTACATAATAAATCATACAAAGACTTTCTATTTTAGAAAAATTCTTAATAAAGCGCCTATAAAAGCCGGCATGTCTTAGAAAACTCCTTATCCCCTTGACATTGTTTAGAGGTGGCAATTGTTCAATGACTTCACTTTTTGTTTTATCCACCTCAATTCCCTTAGAGGAAATCTTGTGTTCTAAAACAATTCCTTCTTTTACCATAAAATGGCATTTCTCCCAATTTAGTACAAGATTTGTCTCTTCAAATCTTTGCAAAATCAAATCTAAATTATGAAGACAATGGTCAAAAGATGAACCATACACAGAAAAATCATCCATAAATATCTTCTTAATTTTCTCAATATAATCAGAAAATATAGCCATCATGCAACGTTGAAAAGTCGCAGGAGTGTTGCATAAACCAAATGACATCCTTCTAAAGGCAAAAGTGCCATAAGGACATGTGAATATGGTCTTCTCTTGATCCTCCGGAGCTATAGCTATTTGGTTATATCCTGAAAAACCATCAAGAAAATAATAAAATTCGTATCTGGCTATTCGCTCCAATAATTGATCAAGAAATGGTAAAGGAAAATGATTTTTTCTTGTTACCGCATTTAATTTACGATAATTGATACACACTCTCCACCCAACCACAAGTTTAGATGAAATCATCTCATCATTTTTACCCACAATTGTAGTTATTCTACCTTTTTTTGGTACAACATGAATTGGACTAATCCAAACGCTATCGGAGATAGGAAAGATTATACCTGCATCAAGCCACTTAAGAATTTCATTTCTTACCACCTCTTTCATGTTTGGATTTAGTCGTCTTTGTGTTTCTACCACTGGTTTGCAATTGTCCTCCAATAAAATATGGTGCATGCATATAGAAGGACTTATACCTTTAATGTCTGAAATTGTCCATCCAATTGCCTTCTTATGCCTTCTTAGAACTCTTAACAACTTTGCACACTGCTCATCATTAAGGTCAGCATAACGATTACTGGGAAAGTGTTATTTTCTCTAAGAAATTCATACCTTAGATGAGTTGGTAGTGGTTTAAACTCTAATTTTGGAGGTTCAATTTTCGAAGGCGATGGAAGCCCTTTACTGTGGCCAAAACTTTCATAAACATTACTCCTTCTATATGGTACTTGAAAATCCAAATACTTGGCCACTTCTTCAAGCTCTTCACAATCTCCCTCTTGCATACCTAAACTCAATAAACAAAGCTTAAGCAGGTCGAAATCAAAATTGATTCGACTCTATTCTTGAGTTAGTTTATCAATGGTGCCAACAGAACAAGCATGATCAGTAAAAGAATGGTATTTTTTCATTTCATTCAAATTAAATTCTACTTCTTCTTCACCTACTTGAAACTTAACCTTGCCATTTTTAACATTAATAATAGTACCTGCAGTAGTTAGAAATGGTCTACCTAAAATAATTGGCATAGATATATTTTCTTCCATATCTAAAACCACAAAATTCACTGGAGTAATAAATTTTTGAAATTTAATCAATACATTCTCTAACACTCCCAATGGATATCTAATAGACCTATCCGCTAGTTGCAAAGTAATATTAGTGCATTTAAACTCATGCAAACCTAATTGTCTAGCCACCGTTAAAGGAATTAATGATACACTAGCACCAAGATCACACAATGTTTTAGAGAAATCAATGTTACCTATGGTACAAGGTATAAAAAAACTCCTCGAATCCTTCAATTTCGGTGCTAGCTTATTTTGTATAATGGCACTGCACTCCTCCGTTAATACTATTGTTTCGCAGTCTTCTAACTTCCTCTTTCGAGTCATGATTTTCTTGAGAAATTTTGCATATGAAGGAATCTACAAAATAGCATCGGCAAAAGGAATGTTAATGTGCAATTGTTTGAATATTTTAACAAAATTTTCAAAATCTTTATAAAACTTATTCTGCTTAAGTCTTTGGGGAAATGGAGCTGCAGGAGTATCGGAATGGTAGCGGAAGATGATGGTTGATTTTCTCTTGGATTCTCCCGACTATTTTCCTCCACAATTGCCTCTTGCTTCATTCTCTTTTCTGCATGTTTTTCACTCTCATCTTTCTCACATTCACTCACAGGAGGATCCTCTAATTGTTTATCACTAGATGAGTAATGGCTTTGACATGTTCCTTAGGATTAACTTCCGTTTTGCTAGGTAATTCTCATTGATTTCTATTGTTCAAGGAACTAGCAATTTGACCAATTTGGATCTCTACATTCCTATACATTGTAGTAAGTTGGTTCAATCTTCCTTCTACTCTTTCAAATCTGTCCGAAGTAATCTTAGCGAGTTTTTCCACCGCAATCTCCCAACTTGGTTTAGTTTCAGCTTGTGGTTGCCTTGGTTGGAATTCCGGTTGGTTGGCTGGCCTTGGTTGATTGCCTTGATTTTTCCATCCAAAATTTGGATGATTTTTCCACCCCGGATTATAAGTGTTCGAGTAGGGATTATTTTGAGCATTACGATTGTAATTGTTGACAAATTGTACCTGCTCAAAATCAACACATTCATTAGCATCATGTTCACCTCCACATATAGAGCAACAAGCTACATGTACATTAGATGAACTTGGATCAACTCTACCTTGTCTAATTAGCAATTTCATCACATTATTCATTTGAGCACTCAACATATTGAGAGTGTCTATTTCTATCATACCTGCGTGACGTCTTGTATTACCTCTCTCATTGGCCCATTGGTAGTTATTTACGGCCATTTCTTCTATCAAATTCTGAGTTTCTTGGGGTGATTTACCCATTAAAGCCCTACTTGCAACTGCATCAATCATAGTTTTAGTAGAAAAAGATAAACCATTATAGAAGGTTTGTACGATTAGCCAATCGGGCAGTCCATGATGTGGACATGTTCGTAACAAATCTCTAAATCTTTCTCATGCCTCATATAATGATTCACCCTTTAATTGGCTAAAACTAGTGATATCCATTTTTAACTTAGCAGACTTACCCGGTGAAAAATATTTATTAAAAAATGTTCTTGATAAATCATCCCATTTGGTAAAAGTGTTAGGAGCATGAGAGTGTAACCAAATTTTTGTCTTATCTCTCAATGAAAATGGGAACAATCTTAGCCTTATAGCATCATCACTAACTCCATTCATTTTAATTGTATCACATACTTTCAAGAATATAGCTAAATGTGAGTTAGGATCATCTACTGCATTACCTCTAAATTGATATTATTGAACCATTTGGATAAGTGATGGTTTAATCTCAAAATTGTTACCATTTACCATAAGCCTTGCTATGCTTGTTTGAAATCCTTGTGCTCCTGGTAGAGCAAAATCTCGTAGAGCTCGCCTCTTTGCTTCGTTTTCTGCCATCTCTTCTTCAAATGGTAGCTCTATTAAAATTTCCTCTATCAGTTGCCAAACCTCTTGTTCCTCTTGCTGCGGTGTATGCCTCCTTTTTCTACGTAGTATCCTTTCAATTTCAGGATCAAAAGGTTCAACTTTCTGAAATACCCAGTGCATACACTAAAACAGAAATAAGAGAAATTATGCAGTTTCAATTGTCAAAAACTGATTAAAATGTAGAATTAACTATAAACAGTTTAACTAGTAAAAATATAGCTGTCTAAATTAATAGAGATGATTAGGTCTTAATATTGCCGCTCCCAGGCAACGGCACCAAAAACCTGTCGGACTTTTGATAAAAGTGCAAGTTTAATTCCAATTTTATACCAGTTTATCTGCAAGTACACATGTATTGGGTCGATCCCACGAGAAGAAATATTTACAAGTACTTGGTCCTTATTTCCTCTATTATTTAGACTTACAATGAGATTGAGTAGAAAAATTATATTTGCTACTTCCTGCAATCAAATTTAATAATTCCAAGTTACAAATGGAGAAAATTCACCAAAGACTTGAATCTAGGAATATAGATTCCACTTATGGCACAAAAAATCCAATTGAATGAATTTAGCACTTGTTACTACTCTTGTTTAACCAAAAATTCATTTCCAAAAGTACCAAAATCTCATTCTCATGATAATAATGGTCTAGAACAACCTAGTTTTTCCTAATCTCTTGATGAATAACTAACTCTGTTCTTACTTCATTCATAAAATGTAAATTTAATCCACTTGAATGTATTTCTATTCTCATGAACCTACAACTCAAACTCTACTCATGTTATTCCGTTGTTATTACCAATTCTCATTGAGTAATAACAACTATAAACCTGCTATTGATGATCAAACAACAACAAGTAATCAACATGCACAAGAAGACAAGTTAATACAAGATACAACAAGTGTAAATTTCATTTGACAGGTGCCGAACCTGTGCAATAATAATTACTAAAAAGTCCTAATTACCACCACAATTGATTATAGAACAAATCTGAGTACTGGAACAGGGACTCTACGTGTGCAATGGGTTACTTGATTCACCCTATTTCCGAAGAGTTTGCTTGATCCGATATACCAGAATTGTCTATAAAAGTATTAAATTTGCATACAATGGCAAATAGGGTCGATTCCACAGGGAATGGATAGACAATTGTTTCTTTCCAAGTCAACAGAATAAAATAGGGGGATAATTAATAGGATGAAAATAAAAATAAAATAAATAAAATTCAAGAGCTAACTCAACAAGTTCAATTTAGTGAAAATAGCAATTAATAAAATTCTACCCAAAGGATCAACTGCTCAGGCACGGTCCAATTAAATGATCATCGATGCAAAGATATTTCATTCATCCGTCACTAGGTTGGTTATAGCTATCAACAAGCTCTGACAACCAATTCTTCCTTACTTTTTCGACAGTCAAGGTACGACCATTGACTGCTTCTCTAACCAGAAAATAACCCTAGGTACGACCGTAGGAATTTAATTATCCAGTTGCATTAAAACTAAAAGAACCCAACCCTAACCAATAAACATGCTAAGAGGGTTTATTTAAATTAGATCTTCCGTTTCCCAAACATAAATCCAATTATGGTGGTTGTCACTAGGTATCAACTAAACGAACAATTACGGATTCAATTTAATTAATGTGACAGTAGGTTATTAAATTAAATCAAATACCCGGCCGTTGATATCCAATTAATAAAATACCCATGAACAATTAATCCAGGAAACGTACGAATAGCAACAAATTGGAAAAAATAATAAAAATTCGATTAGATCTCACAGATGTTGTGGACTGCGCCCTCGCGTCAACCTTTGGGTAGAGAAGAAAACTAGCTGCTCCTCATCGCATTAATCTCGCGTGATTTGATTAATTTTATCCTCACAATTGCCAAAGAATTGGAAACGATGAATTAACGAAGAGACAACAGAGAAAATCCTCGCTTCGTCCCTCATTTCATGTCTGATTTGAAAAGGTGAAAAGCAAAAGTCTCCAAGAGAGAGTCATCCAAACCAAAAGCAGGAAAAATGAAGTGAAAAGCGGAAGCTATCTAAATCGTGTAGACCCCCCAAGAGCCAGAGAAAAGTCTACCACGTCTGACCGAAAAAGAAAAACTAAGAACCAATCTAATTGATTTCGCGTGACTCTGGCCTTTTCTTCTATTTGCTGCGGAAAAGAAAGAGAACGTCTGACTCCCTAATGAAAACTAAAAAGTTAAAAGTATCAATTGCACGTGAATCTGGCCCTTCTTTTATCTTCAGTAACCGCCGCCAGGAGAAATTCACCCAGGAGCAAAGCTTTTCTTTTTTGGGGTTTTAATCCCATGCAGCTGGTCCATGTGGACATAGTTTCCTAGTTGGCTCTGATGCTGCCAAGCCCGCGGGTCCAGCTTTTAGGTGAGTCTCCTCAGTTTCTGGCGTGGGCACGCCCTGAAATAAAGGGTCTTCTGGAAATTTGCCTCAAAAGATTATTTTTAACGCCAACCACCTGCAATTCACACAAATATCAAGTATGAGTAAAATCTCAATTCTTAGCATCATGAGTAGCCATAATTAGGACAAAATAATAATGCAAAGTATGCAAAATAACCGCACTATCAAATCCCCCCACACCTAGACAATACTTGCCCTCAAACATTTCGAAACTCAAAAGCAAAATCAAGATAGCAATGGTTTCATAGTCATCTATACTAACACAAACATCCCGCATTCCCGACAATATCGCCAAATTAGAACATACCAGACAGATAGTTATCCAAAGAATATGAACAGTATTACACGTTACCTGCAAGAAAATGTATGAATACTAGGAACGCTCAAATCAACATCACGGAATGGAATTACCATAGGCTCGTACATTTATCATATCTCCACCACCGAAAAGTGAACTAAATACACAAATCAAAGGGACTTTAATAGGGTTGTAATGGGGTTTAGGTAAAAGGCGGGATAAGAAGGTGAAGATAAGGTGTAATGTGTCAAGAGAATGTCCGATATCCACCACATATCCACAATGCTTCACCAGAAGAAATTCACTAACAAGACAGTTTCACTTGTTGTACCCACTGTGCAAGAGTCGCCAAAATTTTCTCTCTGTTTTTTTTTTAACAGGCGGCTTGCAAGGCGTGGACACGCCCTCTAAGCCAGAGTCTGCTGTTCACCATCTTATTGACAATTTCTACCCTTCTTTTTTCTTTTTTCTCTTTTTTTTTCTTTTCTTTTCTTTCGATCTCAGATGTACAAAAACAGCACCATACAGCATCTATTCTGACAACACTTGCGACCATAGATTTATTTGCCTTGCATAAGTAATGAATTTCAGACATCCCTTAATAACACAAGGTTGAGCAAGAAAGTCTAAAAGGTCATGGGTTATTAAACACGGCTAAGAAACAAAATAGAAGGATAAAGGCTCAAATTGGTTCACTATTAGGAGACAAGATGAAGGCATAGTTTGTAAAAAGTTAAAGAGGGTTAGATCCTAAATGCCCTTATCATTTCAAATGCATCCAGTTCAACAAAATGTGGTCTCGACATGTATAAAATAGCAAATTCTAGAATGCCAATACCATATGTGATACCCACTCAAAACAAAAATAGAGCAAACAAGAATAATGTGCTCATGCATGGCTCAAAAGCTCCCTAAAGTTACAAGAATGGGTCAAGTCCAGCACACTCAACATTCAACGATATTGCCCAAGAAAAACAAAATGCCCAGCTAGCATATTTGACCACATACCTGTGCACCATGATTGTATAATCCATCATAGCAACACACTCCAACACTAACAAACATAGAAACGAACAGCAAGCCTAAGACAGAGGGTTTTCATCATTTCTTCATTTTTCTGTTTTCTATTTTTCATTTTTTTTCATTTTTTTTTTGTGTACCACAGCCAAAAGAAATAATAGAAACCACCTACAATTATGGGAACCACTCCCCCACACCTAAAACTTACATTGCCCTCAATGTAGAAAAGACAAATGAAGTATTATGAGAAAAAAAGAGAAACTTCCCTGACCACCGAGAGGGTGCAGCAAGACACTAAGGCTGAGAAGGATGAGGTGGAGTGAATCCAATATGAGCAAAGAAAGCAGCTTGATTCTTTGCTTGAATACGGGCGAAAACCTGCATCGCTGCAAGGCGAGCACCTAGTCCCTCAACTTGGTCCCCCAAGTCATAGATAGAGTCTTGGAGGGCACGGTATTGGGAATCCCTAGCAGGAGGAGCATGGTAAGAGGAGCACGCCACGACGACGTGCTGTGCACGGCGGACTAACAAGAAAAGAGGAAACGAAGGAACTGAAACTAAGACAAAACAAAAGAAATTGAAAAGTAGAAACTAAGACAGAGGAAATTGAAAAGACCAGACAAGACAAAAAAAGAGAAAAGTAGAAAAGTGGGGTTAGAGAAGGTTCTGGTCAATTTTTTTGACTTTTATTGTTGCAAAGGTTGGAAGGCATGGGCACGCCTTGGAGGGCGAGGTCTTCTGTTCACCAAATTTTACAAATATCCATGTGCAGTGAATACAAGGCGCGGGCACGCCTTGTAACATGAAGTCTTCTGCCCACAAATTTTTGC